GAGCAGCGAAAGAGACAGAGCAAGGGAGAGAGAGCAGGGCGGGCCAGCAAGGAAAGGTGACCACCAATGTCAGATGTGCACAGGGACTGCAGAGGGCTAAAGAGAGGTGTCACGGGGGCCACAGAACAACTCTGGGGGGGAGTAGAGCTTGCCTGCTCCACGGTGCAGACGATGGGGGGACCATAAGGAGCTGAAACATCTTGGCCTCAAATTTCTCAGTGAAAGTGATGGGACAAAAGGGGGGCTCTCAGAGACCAGGCCGGGCAGGAAGGGGGCAAGGGTGGGGGTGGGGCCTTACAGACCACACTCTTAGGGAAAAGTAACAAGATCTATTGATGAGAGACTGTCATTGTCACCTACAGACAAGTAACAGGGCTCCTACAAGGCCAGTAGAAATGTTTTCCTGAGAAAAAGAGTATGTAGCAGACACCACATTACTGAGTCTCTGTGCCTCAGACCCAAGGCTGGGAAATACATTCACTGGGATTCTTTTTATGCTGAAGATCATCCTTTATTTAAATGAGATGTTCCACTTCAATCAGGGCACCCACGTGGCCGTGGAAAGGACGGTGTCTTGTCACGGCCATGTTTCAGTCTCACGCTGGCATTGCAGGCCGGGACACCCTGTATCTTCTGCTACTGACACCTATAGTGACAGAGACTGTAACTGAAGCTAACAATTGATTATTCTTTACAAGAGGAGTTCACACAGGAGCCTAATTAGAGAATTTCCTAGCGCTCCTTCCTTGCTAAAACACGCACCTTTAATATGGAAGACACGATGTGTCATTCAGGCCTTCATTGCGTGCACGCTTACCCACGCTACCACTGCCCTGGTCTCGCCATCTGGAAATACCATTTGTCATCCAGGAGTAATTGGCTAATTTGCTGGGTTTGCCCTTTAAATGCTCCATGTTCTCCTGACACCTGTGAGTTTCCTTTAGAGGCCTGTAGAGCTTTCTGCTAGAGATGACACTGCCTGCAAAGGTGTTTGGAAAGAGCAAGTTGATGGCAGCGTCCTGGAATCAGAAGAGAACGCCACTCCCATGGCAAAGGCACACAGTTCCTGCAAGGACAGAGCAAATGCTGCCACCACGGCCATGAATGTCAGGGGTGGATCAGGGTTACCACCAGACACACTCGTCCTGTGCCGCTCATAGTGGTTACAATTGCAACAAGTTACAGCAGCCACAAGTTATAAAAACCACCACAACTCACAACCACAGCCAGTTACAACCATAACGTGCTTTGCCACATCCAAAAACCAGGCTAACACTGTCTCCCTACTTAGGATCAGATATGGAACGTGTATTATGATGAAAGGCTTACATCTTAAATCTTCGGCAGTCGTATTGGGAATTAAAAGTGGTTAAGAGCTCAGCTGCTAACCAAAGGGTCGGCAGTTCGAATCCACCAGCCACTCCTTGGAAACCCTATGGAGGCAATTCTACTCTATCCAACAGGGTCACTATGAGTTGGAATCAACTTGACAGCAACAGGTTTGGTTTTGGTTTGGCCTTGGGGGATGTGGCTATGAAGGGGTGGCCCGAGGGATTTTCTTTGTGGAGATGGAACAGTTCTGTATCCTGATTGTGGTGATGGTTCTCCAATCTACACATGTGACAGAATTCCACAGACCTACACACAGAGTGCATGCAAAGTGTGAAGACAGCTGACTAAGATTCCCACCTGACTCAGCACTGCTGCACCAGTGCTGACCTTCTGGTCTGAACAATTTACTATGGTTCTGTAAGATGTTCTCATCAGAGGAAGCTGGCTGAAGGGGACCCGGGAGCTCTTCTGAAATATTGTTACAACTTCTTGTGAGTTTTAAACTATTTCAAAATAAAAAGGCATTTTAAAAAATAATTGACG